TGGCCCTGGCCACCTGGGACCCAATGCCACCTGTGCCACATGGTGCAGGCCCAGCCCGGCCCGGCCTGAGGGTATGCACCTTCAGGCAGTACTGGGCCAGTCTTGCTGTCACCCAGGGCTACCAGCACTGAACACAAGAGCCACGTGCCCTCAGGCTGAGTCGGGTCCTGCCTGCATGAAGCTGGCCCGGCCAGGCAGCATGTGGGGCACTTGGAGGCAGGACCCAGCCTGGCCTGAACGTGTGCAGTTCTTGTGTGCGGTGCCAGGGGCCCCAGGTGACAGCAGGAGTGGCCTGGTCCTGTCCAAAGGTGCACACTCCTGGGCCAGGAGGGGTCAAGCCTGCACCATGTGGCACAGGTGGCACCAGGTCCCAGGCAGCCAGAGCCATGCTGCACCATGCCACATTGCAGGGGGGCTCTGCCAGTAGCACACCCTGAGCGCCCCAACAATGGCAGCTGCTGATGCTGCTGCGGGGGGCTGTGCACTGTGCGGGGGGGTGGGCGGCAGACCCACCCCTCCCAAGCCGTCCCTCCACTCACACAATCCCCCTACCCCCACAGCCGCCCCACCCCCATGTCCCTACTTACCAGGGACAGAGCCTAGGCCCAGGTCATTGCTGCAGCCCTTGTCCTGCTCCTATTTGCTCCAGCAGCTGCAGCATGCTGGAGCAGAGGGGAAGGGGGCAGGCATAGAAATGCTCTTTGGAGGACCCAGTCACTGGTTGCTTCAGGGACACTGCCCCCTCTGCTGTTTTTTTCAGCATGTTTTTTTTATACCAGGATTTCCTGGTATCAAAATTAGGGTCCATTCTGCAAATATGCAGTGTGGGGAACATTTTCTCATTCCCAGCATGCCTCTTGCAACATATCAAACTGCTTTCAGATACTGCAACAGGCATGTGCTTGCTAACCTAAATGCACCCATTAAGTCCAAATATTGCCCGGATCACAAAGAACCTGAGTTTATTGGTTTAAAGTCACTTTTAAAACCATCTACACTAAGAAAAAAGCTGTTGCGAGAAACTATTGCTTAGAAGGGCTTGGGTGCAGTGCCTCAACTCTAAATATTCCTCTCTGTTTACTTTGATGTAAAACCCATTGGTTGCAGAGCAGAATTTGACCTACTGTATCCATGCCTAAGAAACAGTAAAGCAATAATAGGAATGAGGGAATCTAGAAAATTTATCTTCAAGACAAATACAGGAACAGTTCAAACAAGCCCAGGCACTAACTCTGGCATTCTTGAATCTGAAGTACTGTGGACTGAAAAGACATATGTGCTAAAGAAGCCCTTATCTTGCATAGGTCTTGGTGTCAACTCATGCTGGTAAATAAATTAAATTTGTGCTATTGAAATCTCAGACTGCTATTCAGGCAAAGGTGGATGCTGCTGTTTACATTTATATTAGTTTAATTTCATCATAAAGAGTTTTTTTTATCCACAGCTTGTGTTAGGCAGTATGACTAACAGAATAGAGAAGTAAATATCTGTTTATCTTTGCTAGAATTCAAAATATCACCCTTCTCATTAAAATCAATCTTTTTTCAGCCAATATAAGTCAATTATTAGACTGGAACAGTCGATAATGTGAGAGGTATTAATGAAACAGTGTACCACAACCTATTTGCAGGGTGTGCTGCCCCATTTACTGTTTGACATACTACCAAAGACATGTTTATGAAAAAAAAGAAGATAAATGAGTTTGTGTTGAATGCACTATACCTTTCAATGGTATTAACCCGATCTCCTAGGACACTGCTACAATATGCAACTTCATAGAGATGCCTTCTCAATAGCTTGTACACAGAAGGTTTACAAACGTGGGTTAACTGACAGATACTAAATGTGGGCAAAATAACAGACTTTAAGGCCACAAAGAATGATTGGAACACTCCAGTCCAGGGGTCACCAGTATTTTCCAGCAGGAGGCCAGACTGACCCAACTTGCAGTGAAGGTTGGCCATCACTGCCTCTTCTCTCTGTTGCCCAGCCACAGCATGGCATGGGCAAGGTCCCCTGCCAGGGAACACCGCCAGTGTTCTGCAGGCTGGATCCAATGGCTCTGCAGCCAGAACTATTCCACAGGCTTTAACTTGCCAACCCCTGCTCTAGTCTCATTTCCTGTACAATATAGGCTGGGGATTTTACTCAGTTGTACCAGTGCCTAGCTCAACAAAGAGGGGACAAATTTGAAAAAATCTTTTGAAAATATATTCAGTCTTCATGTAAGGTCTCCATTACCTGCTCTCCCATAATGAAGAGCTCTATCATAACCTCCAAGTTAAGCTATTCCATTAGCTTAATTGCTCTCACTGGTAGACACTTGCCCCTTATTTTCAATTTGAACCCAGCTTACAAATATAGGATCTTATACCTTTGTTTACTAGATGAAAAAGCCTTTTAGTGTCTGATATGTTCTTCCGGTGTAGGTACCCCTTTACTGTGGTTGAATTGCACAAACTACAAAATTTGCCCATGAAGCTGGGTATGTTCTTAGGCAGTTAGCCCCTCCTAAGTGCCATACTTAGTCTGTACTGAGGATAGCACCTCAGCTAGCTAGTTTAATGGTAGTTTGGCATTGTTTCTATGAGGTGTAGTGACTTCAGTGTAGTTGTAACCTAAGACAGATTTTTTTTTCAGGTCTCCGACCATTCTTGTGACTCTTCTTCTGGGGAAGATCCAGGATTTTGTAAACGGGCATGTAGGAACAACAACTGGTGCTCTAGGATGCTCCCCCCTCACCCTTCCCACAGCTCCTAGCCTCCTGCCCTCACCAGGGTGGGCAGACCATGCTGTGGGAGCAGCAGATGGTTTGTTTTTTTTAAGTCCCTCAATCAGCTGAATCTTCTCTTCCTCCTCCCTTTTCCTCTGTTCACTGTGGCATGTCCCCTCCTCTTCCCCCACCCTTCCATTTCCCTTACCCCTGTCCATGGCTGCTGCTGTTCACATTGCCCCCAGCTGACCTGGAGGTGAGGGGAGGCTCCAGAGCTGCTTCTGTCCCACTCCAACTGGGCTGTATGTGGAGCCAGGCTCAGCCAGAGACAGCAACAGCAGATGGGTTCCCTTTCCCTGTGCCTACTCCCAGGCCAGCAGGGAACACCCATGGGGAACCAGGCAGACAGGAGGAGCCCATCTGTCACTGCCACTGTCCCCAGCTGATCCTGGCTGTGATGGAGCCCAGCTGGATCAGGCAGGAGCAACTGTGAAGCTGCCCCTGCCCTCAGGGCAGGCAGAGACAGTGGGCAGGGGAGGGGAGGTGTTGCTGAGCATGGAGGGGAAGAGAGGGAAGGAATTCTTATCTGATTCAGAGACTTAAAAGTACTTGGCTAATGCTCCTCACCATCATCAACTGAAAGGCAGATGCATCTGTACCACTGCACCCCATCTGGATCTGCCCTGACTCTTTTCTGAATGCTTTCCAGTTATACTCTTTCTTAAATGGTAGGTAAAATCCTTTGCCCAGGATAGCTGTAAAACTACTCTACAGTCTTACCAACCCATCTTGGATGCCTGGCCTGGAGGACATGCCCCATTTTCCTTGGTAATTTGGAACAGCAGAAGAGAAGGGGGATAACTGCAGACTTTGAGAGCTAGTGGTTTCTGCTGAAAAAAGGAAGATGAAGGCCTTTTAATCCCTTGAAAGGCTTCGTGTGGGTGTCCCAGAATATAGGAAGCAAAAGAGGAATGAGGGAATGATTCCTCAGCAACCATGCTCAAACAGGCCAATGAGGTACAGTGGAAGAACTAAGGGAGTCAGAAACATAGCTGTCAGGCTGTCCCTGTCTTTAGGATATAGCAGAGACTAGAGCTGTTATAAGAGGTAGAGAAAGATATATATATAGGGAGGAGCGAGAAGAGCCAAACTGATGGGGTGACTAGGAAAGAAAGAAAGGAAGTATTTGAGTGTCATAGAATGAGGAAAAGAGTATGGAGGCAGAGGGCCACAACGTGATTAAAGGAAACCTAAAAGAGACAAACTGGGTGGTACCAAAAGAGGAGAGGAAAATACCAAAAAGAGGAAGATGTAAGGAAGTAAAAGACATTTAGAAGGACGTATTAGAAGTAAGGAAATAAAACTAAGGTAATAGCTTCCCACAGTGAGAGTTCCTTATTGAACACCATTTTTCTTAGGTTCTAAAAAAGGTACCCTTTTTGGCAGGCTCTGAAGAGAGGCCAAGGGGTGGAAGAGGAAGACTGAATCACAATCCCTCCGTTATAGAAATGGATTGAGGTAAACTGATGAATGGCAAGCAGTCACTGACAAACTCCATCGCATCTTGCAAGTTAACAGGATGTTCCAAGTCTCTGTAACGCAGTTTTCGAGTGAAAGGATATTAACTTCCTCTTCCCGAATAAAGCCCTGCACGGATAGCCACATGCTATTGAAGAAAAGATCTCTCTGTGTGTGGGTGTAGTGGACAGGGTGTCAGTGGGTTTCTGGACTTATGGTAGCATAAGCATGATGTTGCAGCTGTTTGACAGGCCTGGCTCTGCCAGTAAGCTGCTTTTCTTCTGATAATTGTTTGTCTGCTACCCCTGCAAATATCTCTCTCCCTGCTCCTACAACTGTTCTTTATATGCTGTGCGGGCTTGTGCCGATCAAAGCTGATGAAGAATGTCTTGCATTCAAAACTTGTCTAATTTGATCCCAAATGTGTAGTTGGTCCAATAAAATATGTCATCCTAAGAAACTCTTTTCTAAACTTATAGAAAAGGCCCTAGTGATAGTACAAGGGCCAGGTCCAATTTTAGGACACATTAGTTTAAGCCCCGACCCAGAAAATTTCACCTATAAGCATCTCCCAGCCCAGCCCCACAATCATGAAGCAGGGACTGTGAGCTCCCTGCTGCTGGGGCAGGGGGACATTGTACCAGCAGCATGCTTTTGAACTAAAACACATTAGAGGTGCTTTAGTTCAAAAGCATACCACCACCATTTTCTGCATGCTGATGTACATTTTGCTGCTTATACAACTGCACATGGTGCAGTGCTGTGCACATCAGCTCACATGCAGATGTCGCCAGAGGTGTCGGTGGTGAGGGGTAGGAGTGACGAGCGGCAACCGCCCGCAGGCACCGCTGGCAGTGTCAGTGGCACCTTTTTGCAGGGGTTGTGCTGCCATGCTTAGGGGGTCCACGTGCACACCCTATGCATTGCCAATGACTGTGGTAACATATACTCAACACTTCAACTTCCTCCCCCACACCTTTGGAGGTGTCCCCAAACACGGCTTTAGTCCCTAGAGTGCTCAAACAGCAGCTTGCAGCTGTCCCCAAGTCTGAGTCCAGCTCCTTTAGTGCACAGTCCTGGCTGACTCTCTGTGTAGGGCTGACTGGGTTTCACCTGCATGCTGCCCTCGCCTTCCTGTACTCCAGCCTCTTTCTCTTCCTTTCTCCCTCGCCCCTCAGCCCCTGGGGCTTCAGTCCTAGTGAACAGATATCATGGCTCTGCAGACTGCTCCCTGATTCCACTTGCTGTTACACACATTACAGTCACATTATACATGGTATAGGCACACACCGGCTCTTAATTTTTTGACCTTGCATATCTAACTAGTATGCAAATTTTGGAACATTTCCAGTAGGTCATGTGACCACCCGTACACACAAGCTGTGTTTCAGTGTATATTGTTGTACAGTGTGTCCAAGAAGCCTTGTTTATATATTCATATATGAGTTTAACATTTAAAAGTACTTTGGGAGTCTTCAAAGTAAGTGGGGCTACATAAATGTGAAATTATCATGAAGGCCTGTTTCTTGCATGAGGTGGCAGTTAACTACTCTGCAAGTGTGCATACACTCTTGCTGTCTTGCTTGCTTTGACATTAAGCACAAATGGAGACTACTGGTAGTATTTATAGAGAGCAGTAAGTGTACTTGGCATTACTAGCTGCTACTAAAAGACCGGATCCTGGTCCCAAGGTACTGAAGATGCAATACCTAAGATAACTTTTTGCCTGCCTCCTAAGTGCTTAGAGTTGTAGTATCATTTTCTTGTAAGTGGATCAATCCTGGGAGGGGGTGTTATCCGTTAATCTTAAGGAGAATTTCCAACATCAAAAACTTCTGGTCTATTATTTTAAAGTATGTGCCAGTTCCCCATAAATTCCACTTGTCAGTTTAATAATGAAGTTATTTTTTCACTTATTGCAAGTCATTTGCCAATCACCATTTCCCTTTTAAATGTGAATTGACTACATGCTTGTCTTGGAAGGTGTTTTAGGGAAAACTAAATGGAAGGGAGAATAAAAGGTGCTTCCAGTGTGCTACAAGTTTTGGAAGAATTTCTCTACAAAAAAAAGCAACAAAGGAAGGTACCAGGAAACAAAGTATTAATTTCATGTTCCACCATTAGCTTGCCACCTGTTAGCCCTGATCATTACCCAGAGCTGAGGGGGGAAAGACTAATCTGTAGCACATTTATATCAACAAACTTGAACAAAAAGCAGCCTAATTATCCCATTGAACCTGTGTCAGTTTTAAACCCAGCTCTATTTCCCAGGTTGGCTGTTTGCCAAGCCCAGCAAGCTGGTGTCCATAAGCAGCATGCTAATGACACTGTCCTTTCATTCTAGGAGAAGTATAATTGCCAAAAGCAGTTTACAGACTCATTATTTTTATGGTCGTATTTCAGATGAAAGAAGTCAAAGGGCATCACAGAGTTTACATGCCAACATATTGGAAATAGTTTTGGTTGTGGAGGAGAGGGGTTTAGTAGTGTGATTGTATCTCTGTATTATGTGTGACACCCAAAATAGCTATGTGGGTTTTTTCCAGTGCCAGCCAGAACTGTCATAGCAAGCTAAATAAGGAAGAAAACAAAAAATGATGGAAATGGACCTGAATATTGCAAAGCATTTAATGGACCTAATTTATTTTTGTGGCTATATCTCAATAGCCAAATTGATTTAGTAATATGATATACTGCATTGATCTTTGTAGTATTTACAGGGTAGAAAAGGTTTTGAGAGATGACATTTGCAAGTGCATCCAAATTTTCCCACAATTTTGGGGAGTTTATTTTCAGCAAGGTGTTTTAATTTTGATTATAGGGTCACAACACCTGGATCTTGCTCTATTTAGAGCTGTTCAGGAGTCTTTCACTTCTGGCTGTTATTTAGAACATGTTTCATTCACAAAATCAGAATTTTATATCAGGACTTCCCCAAAGGAACTGGGGGAATAGATTGTTCAGATACACTGTTTTTGGTTCAGGTCAAGCTGAAGTAAAGATCTGGGACCTTCTAACTAATACATCAGGCATGTCTACACATGCACTTTAATGCACAGCAGTAGCATTACATAAAAAACACTGACATTATGCTAATGCGCAGTAAAATTGTCTACTGCACATTAAGCATCACTTAAAAAGCGTGCAAATGTGCTACTGTGCATTACTGCAGCCTACCATGCATTAATTTAGTACCTCACATTGGAGGTACTAAATTTAATGCATATTATAAAGGTGCATTAATGCATGCAATAAAAAATAAGTTGGGCATACAAGGCATAGTGTGGCATTCGGTGGGTGTGTGTTTGTTTTCTGTTTTTCAGCTTTAAAAATAAAGAATTTTCTTCCCATTTGCATTAGGCCATTTGGAAGGCTCAGCAGTGGCACTTCTGAGAGATCCGTCCACCTGGGAAGGAATGCGCTGTTCCAGATACATACAAAAAGCTCAGTTCCTTTTCCAGGTGGGATGCTAGATGCAAATTAAATCCATGCCTACATCATTTTTGCCAGAATGCTGTTCAAACTGCTTTAATGCAAGCAGCAAAGCCAATCAGAGCAGGACTAAATGTAATGTTGTGATGTTATGAGGCAGTTAAAAGATGTTAAGTGCTGCTGCTGTATCTGCTGCTTTTCCATTCAAATGAATGGCCTTTCTATTGCAAGCTACTGCCAGGATATGTGCAAGCTTTGGCAACTGGGAAGGGATATATCCCTTCTCAGCTAGCAACAGGCATTTGATGTCAGCAAAGGATTCCAATTTTGCCCTGTCTTTGCTTTTGGGAGACTGACAATTCACTTCATTACTAGCAAAAAGGGCACTGCTGTAGCACCTCTTGTTAAACCTTCATCTGGAATTCAAATTAATGGGACCATTGAAACTAGCATCTTTTGTATGTGCTCAATCGAGGAACCATTAATGGATTAAATTACTATAAATAGTTCTTGAAGAACTTATTAATAAATCTGGACAGTGGACCTCTCTAAGTCCAATCAGATAAGAAAATTTGCACTTACACTAGAAACTGACCTGTAAAATGTTCCCCTTTAACTGCGTATATCCCAGTTAAATAATAATCCAAGGCCTTTAAAATTTGTCACAACTTTCTTTTGCCATATTTATTGACTACCAAAATATCTGTTTACCACTACAATGGTAAAAGGGGGCTGGACCTGATAATCTTGTAAGGTCCCTTCCAGCCCTTAACATCTATGAATCTATGACTATGGTTAGTAACTAAACATGGCATCTTTTATCTGTAGATTTTCTGTATCAGATGCAGCCCTTGTCTTGTAGTAAGCAAATATTGGTAATTATTGACATTTTGTGGGCTAATGTTTGGTCTAATGTTGCTGTTGTCCTTGTTCAGTGAATAAGCAAATGACTTTTTAAGTAGCTGGGTGTCAGCATTACATATTTTACCAGCATTAAAATCATAAACAACAGTATTTACAAAATAAGATATACACAGACAAATCTGTGAATTATACAATTGTATATGTATACATTTATTTACGTGAATGTAAAATGGGCATACTTTCCTCACAGCCCAACCTTCTCGTCTTTTTCTATAGTGACTTGAATGTGAGACTGAAACATCTTTACCCAGTAAACTTTGAAAAAGAAATTCCAACATTAAATTTGCATGCAATATATATTTTATACTTCTAAACTCACCAAAATTTTAAATGTTTTGAGATCAGTGTCTAAACCCAGTATAATGGCTATTTCCATTCTAGGTAAAACAAGAGGACAAGTAGCTGGAGAAAAAAAACTCTTATTTAAAAACACAAAATGCCTGCAATAATAGTACTAATGTCAAAGTGGATGGGAAAATTATGACTAAAAAGTGTTTTTCCCTTTTTTTAAATTTTAAGTTCTGTTTGTGATCAAAAGCTCCATTTAAAAGAGTGGCTCTCTACCAGTGTGCCACCTTGAGATCCTTTCATGTCAACCACAGGGTGCCATGCATTGTTAGCACCGTTAAGTAAGCAAACATTATTCACAAGATAAACCCAGAGGTTTCAAGTACAAATCCACAATATTTAAAACATGCTGACCTGTCATGATCTGAGTTTTTATCAACAGAAAAAAATTGCCTCTTATTTTTCCATAATCAAAAAATGAGTGAAAGCTAAGAGCTGGCGTTTTCTAAAGGGTGCCTTGAGTCAAAACAGTTTGAGAATCACTGCTTTGAAATATGATTGAATTACAGTTGCTGTGGTAAAACTACAAGTATAAATGTATACTATAATAATAAAATGTTTATTGATTAAGTTAACTAGTAAAATTATAGTCAAATTAGTCTCTAACTCATTACTGTGACAAGACATGTTGACAGTAGCCTGATAATCTCTACAATCTGCACTTAATTATTAGAGTTTTGCTATTTATACATGAACATAGTTTTCTGAATAAAAATCCACCTAATTATTTTGGCATGGGATTTTTAGTGCTTTAAGGAACAGAGATAGGTAATACAAAGAAATGAAAATCCTTCCAATTCTTTGCTGTAGCACGGAGAATTGATGGAGCTAGGTTATTCCACATCTGTCAACTGCAGACACCTACTTTTTGTTTGCTCTGGTGTGTGCAATTTTGCTACAATCATAGATAGGATTATTGATAGCAATGCCATTGTGCAACTATATATTCTATGATGCTGTTCCAAAGACAGGAGTGAGAGAAACGAGGAAAATTTAAGCAAGATGAGAAGAAAATGCTTTCCTCGTTCAAAATGAGCCCACTTATAATTCCATGTCATATGATGATGGTAAAGAATCAGAGAATGGCTTTCTACTAATAATGAACAAGAAACTTGATCTGAGTAAAAATATACATTAGCAGCCTTATCTCTCCTTTCTTTTTCTCCCAACTTCACCATAGAGCTTCTCCCAACAACCTACCCCAGCCCTCCTCCAACCTACATTCCTGCTAGATGAATCTGTTGTTTGTCAGCCTGGGAAGTGATAATGGGAGAGAGAGCTTGGTCTTCCAACATGCTGAAGATATTCACAACATGGTACTTTGCATCAATACAAAGCAGCAGGCACTCCAAATAATATCACAAGCTTTAAGCAAAACACCACAATGTCCAACCTGGCCAGAATCTAATGGACTGTCTTCTCCCCAGCCATTCCAGGGGATGCCATTGTGACTGCAGGTTTGGCATCATTGTCTAAATTTCAGCTGCAGAGTTCAGGTATCTCCAAGGCTTTTGGGTTTCCAACTAAATATAGAGA